TCTCTCTGTCTCTCTCTGTCTCTCTCTGTCTCTCTCTGGTATAGGGTCTTATTATGCAGCTTGGACTTCTACAGTCCTCCTGTGTCAGCCTCCCCATCACTGGTATTACAGGTGAGCGCCACTATGCCTTGTTTCCATGGCTGCATGGTGTGCAAGGTTTCAGGGCTGGCATGGCATGCGGTACCGGGAATTGAACTCAGGTCCTTACACTTGCCAGTCAGGCTAAGTTTAGACTGCTGGGCTATATCCCCAGCCCCTAAATGTTTAAATTTCTCCCTAAAAATACTCCCCTCATTTGAAACACACTTATCCCATCATTCTTGCCACTTGCGGAGGCCATTCTGGAAATCCTCTTTCCAGTCTGAGTTGTGATCAGAGATACAGTGAAGGCTGCTGCTGGGTGACATCCAAAGGAAGGCAGGCTGGGAAATACACTAAGGAGCAGCCTCATCCACCTTACTGATCTGGTCTAGCCCTGTGTACAACTTCTGGCTCTCCCCAAAGCCAAAAGCCAGGGCAAGGTAAATAATTTCAGTCCATTCAGGATATCAAGGCAGCCATGATAGCTCAACCAAAGATATTCATGAAAGAGGATTTCTAGGACTGCTTCAGAAAGTGGCAAAACAATGGGATAAGGGGCTGGGGAGATGGCTCAGTAGAATAAGTGCTTGCCTGGCAAGCACAAGGGCCTGAGTTCAATCCCCAGTTCTGCCAAAACAAACAAACAAAAAATGGGACAAGTGTGTTTGAAGTGAGAGAATTTTGAGCTAGATTAATGGTAATGTGTCTTCCTCTACAATGATTTTATTTTAAAACATAAACATTCACTGTAGCTTTGACCACACTGCACAGATAGAATTTCACTTGGGTGTTTGTTTATTCTTTGAGCAATGTAAGAAGGTATGAAAGGCTCAATGCCAAATTGTTATTGCTATTTGTTAATTTTTAATTACTAATTAAATTTGAACAGATCAACAACTGAGACTTTATTTTGTGACAAGGTCTTGCTAAATTACCAAGTTACACATGCTGGGCTTGAACTTGAGATGTTTCTGCCTCAGCCTCCCAGACTACTGTAATCCCAAAATAAAATATAGTGGAGACTTTAAATGGTATTTGCTATAATCACATGTAACTCAACCTTCTATGCTTTTTAAGTGTCTTTTATCTTTTTTAACTTTTGCTGTTTTTATGTTTAGTTCAACAAATAACAAAATGACATCATGTCATTACAAATTACAGGAGCACATCTATTTTTAAAGTTGAAGAGAACTTTTCAAATGTATGCATCACTTGTTGAATAAAACAACAAAACTAGATGCTGAAGCTAAATTACCACCTTTTTAGGAACTTAGAAGACAATGTCTCAATAAAAAATTTTAAGAGGTAGAGGATGTAACTCAATAGGAAGGCCTTGGGTTCAATTCCCAGCACTGAGGAAAAAGGCTATTGCTATTAGAATGGAAGTAATTTTCAAAAGGCGAATCAAATCTTAAGACCAAAAAAAAAGAAAAAAAAAAAAAAGATTCCAAGTGCTCACTGTAACTAATGAAGATTTTCAGGTTATTATATTGATAGAAAATTAAACATTTTAAAATTGACTGTGTGTATTTGTGTCTGTCTGTCTGTCTGTCTGTCTGTCTGTCTGTCTGTCTGAGGCAGGGTCTCACTATGCTGTTCAGGCTGGCCTTGAGCTCACTTTATAGTTCAAGACAGTATCAAACTTGCAAGGACTCGCCTGCCTTAGCCTTCTGAGTGTCGGGATTACAGACATGCACCACCATGCCCTGTTTGACTGTATTATTAACATGAAAGTCAAAATAAGCACTGCTTTATTTTTGCTTTAACATTTAAAATATAAGATATGGGAACCAGGGAGATAGCTCAGTAGAATAAGCACTTGCCTGGCAAGTGCAAGGGTCTGAGTTCAATCCCCGGTTCCACCAAAAAAAAACCAAAAAAAAAGTAAGATATGGGCTGGCGAGATAGCTCGGTGGTCTAAGCTAAGCACTCACCTAGCAAATGCAAAGACCTGGGTTCAGTCCCCAGTACTGCATGCCATGCCTACCCCGATATGCTGTGCCAGCTACAGAAACTGGCATGGCGGTGTGTGTCTGTAATCCCAGAGTTGGGGAGGCTGAGGCACGAGGGTCACTATGAGTCTGAGCTTCATTTGAGTACCAAATAAATGAATAAATAGATACATAGATTTAAAAAATGTAAAATGTAATATTAGCAAGACTTTTCTTTAATAAGGTAGCATTCATTTATAATATAGAAAAAGAAACAAGCAAGAAGAAAACTAAAGCCACCTATAATGCTATCACTTAACATTTTAAAGCACATGTTGCCTGGTGTTTTACATCCTACTCCTGTTGTTTTTTTTTTTTTAATTTTATTTCCATTTACTTTATGCTTAATTTATTCCCATGCCATAAGTTTCTGTTTCTTCAGTTTCTTCTGGGATATCTTTTTCTTCTGTGCAACTCCCTCTTCTGGTTTGGGAACAATTTGCTCCTTTTCAGTAAGGATCATCTCCATATGGCAGGGGGAGCTCAGGGATGGATTAATCCGGCCATGAGCTCTATAAGTACGGCGGCGCATCTTGGGTGCTTTGTTCACCTGGATATGTTCAATAACCAGAGAATCTACATCTAAACCCTTAAGTTCTGTATTACTCTCTGCATTTTTAAGCATGTGCAGCAAAAATTCAGCACTCTTTTTGGGCCACCAACCCTGTGTCCAGCCCCACTGTTTGGCCTGGGCACACCTACCAACTCCACCACTGTAACGCCGGAATGGCACACATTGCTTCTGTAATGTGACATCCTTGAGATACTTGGTGGCCTTTCGGATATGCGTACCCTTGATGGCCTGGGCATTTTCATGCATATTCTTAAAGTGAACGCGAAGATTTGAGCCTCTTGATTTGCATGATTTTGTGGGGTTTTCTGTGTCAAGAGAGTAGTGAACCATTTTCACAGGTCACCTAAGGCCACTCACAGAAAGAGCCCTACTCCTGTTTTTAAAAAGGTACCACTGGGCTGGCTCAGCAGACTAAAGCTTAGGCAGATGCAGGGGCCAGGGTTTGATCCCTTGCATGTTGTGCCGGCCCCGCTCTCAGAAGCGCTAAAATGGCAATTGAGACTGGGTGAGGTGGAGCGTGCCTGTAATCCCAGCACTTGGGAGGATGAAAACAGGAGAATCACTATGAATCCGATCTGTGTAGTGAGACCCTGTAGATGCTGTACGAAATACACAAAATAAATAAACAAATAAATAACAAAATGTATCACTAATGATTTCCTATATATTATTTTTTCCAACATAAATTCTTAAATGTTGCAAGGAAGAATTGATTAGATGTGTTTTCTATAGCTATATATCCATGAATATATTTTAATATGCTTAATCATTTGAGTATCTTTTTTTTCTTGGCTATTTACTATATTTAATAAAGCAATGGATGTCATTGATAAATGCATTCTCAAAGCTGACATTACCTTTCTAGATAAATTCCTAGCAGTAGGAAATTATTAAGAATATGTATCTTTTACAGTTTTCTGGGTTTTTTGAGACAGGTCTCACTACGCAATTCAGGCTGGCCTTGAGTTCACCAGGTAGCCCAGGGTGACTCTGAACTCATGCTGCCTCAGGCTCCTAAGTGCCAGAATTAAAGATATGCATCACCTTGCCGCTGTAATACTTCTACAGATAACTAAATCTATTACTGAAAAGAAATCACATTAATGTCACTGATGAGAATATATTTTAAGATTGAACAATAATCATTACTATTGTGAAATTTAAAGATATTATGAAGGATAGCCAGTAAATAAAATGTAGCTTTTAGAACAGTTTTAAAAGTAGTTATTTCTCTATCATCTGCAGGAAAGATGCTA